GATGCTGATAAGTCTGTCCCCCCGGGCAATACCCGCCCCCTCCGCGGGGGAGCCCGCCAGCGGGGCCAGAACCACGCGGCCGCCGCCCGGGGCCACGGGGCCCAGCTCTAGCCCTAGGCCGGAGGGCCGAGAAGGGGGCCAGGGGGGGGGGGGACGGGGAAACGGGCGGCCTCGGGGGCAGCTGATCATCGTCATGGCGCCCGAGGGAGGGGCAGCGGAAGGCAGGGGGACGGCAACCCCCCTTCCCCCCTTCCTACAACCGCCATCTGCCCCCACCCGGGCAGGTCTCCGATTCTCCCCCGGCCATATCAATTATACACACACACAAACACAAACACGAACACATACCTGCTTTTCCCTCTCCCCCTCATTCCCTTTCCCCCACATACGCCCACCCGAAACCCCTCCCCCAAACACACACGTATCCACTCACCGACGTACTGCGCCTTAAGGTACGACTGCTCCCTGGGCAGTGGCCTCCGTAGGGCCCTTCTAAACGCGCCCGGTGGTAGGTACTCGGTGTACGGGTCCCTCAGACTGCCCAGCATGTCGCTGATGGCGGACTGCAGCTCGGACTTGGAGGTCAGGAGCCCGTCCCGGGCCTTATGGGGAGGGGGAGGGAGGGGTGGTGGTTGGAGGAGGGGGGAGAGGGGCACGGAGTGGGGGATAGTAAGGGTAGTGGGGGGTTGTGTACGGGGGGGAGTTGTAAAACCCTAAAAAGAACCTGAAACCCCGCCACACACACACACAGGCACGTGTGTATGTGTGTGTATGTGTGCACATATCTGTAAAACCAGCCGTACATATATCCCCGTGGGGTGGACCCACCTCCCCTCCACAACGCCCACCCTGCAGTGCTCAGTCCGCTTACCCCTCTTTCCCCTCCCCTTCCCCTCCCCCTCCACCCCCCGCCACACACACACACACACACCTCCATCACCCTCCTAAGCTCATCCGCCCAGCCCGCCTGAGTGAAGACCCCATTGGCCGAGTAGTGCTCGCTGGCAACCACCTGCCAGGCCCGCTCCAGAACCTCACGGTTCTCCGTACAGGGGGGCCCGCACGCGGTTTCGGAGGCGGACACGGACTCCACGTAACGGCCATACTCACGGAGCCTGCGAGTGTGTGTGTGTGTGGTTGTGAGTGTAAGCCATCGGCGACAGGGCGGCGGTGGTGTGTGTGTGCAAGGTGGGGACGAGCAGGTACGGCATCGTACGCCTACCCCGCCACGGGCCCCCGCGTACAGAGGGGCCTTATACCCCTCCCCCCTGGAGTAACCCCCTCCCCCGGTGTTGACCTCTGGCCCGCGGCGCATATCCAAGTTATCTTTCGTTGTCCCCGCCTCCGGCCCCCCCTTCCCCCCCGGCTGGCTCGCGCCGTGTCGTTCACCCAAAACACCCACATTCTACTCGCAGTTTAGGGGAGTCGTGAAGACAGACAGGCAGCCGACCTGAACCCCTTCAACATCCTCCTGTCTGAAAACCCTCCTATACACACACCCCTCGACACCCCCCTACCCCACCCCGCCTACCTGGCCATGGCCTGCTGTGCGTCGTCCGTGAAGAGGGCAAGATTGGGGCCATCACTGGCCCCATCTCGCCGACCCGCCACAGCCCGCTCATAAGCAGCAACGCTGTATGCCTCAGCCGCTAGAGCCGAAGGTACCGGCGACGGCCATACCCAGCAGGCCTCAGGGCCGGGAGATATGGAGATAGCGACACTAAAGGCAAAAGCAACAGCCGTGCGGAACGCTGTGCGGAAGAAGCTGGACAAGACATCGACACCGTCATCTTCGGTCGAGGTTGCAAAAGGTGCAGATATTGGTTGAGGGGTTGTTTTTGGCCGCTGTTTGCAGTTGCACACGGTTCTGCGTTGCAGCTCTGCTACGCGGGCCTGCGGCCTACGCGCAAGCCTGACGTTGTTGGGAATGAACCCTCTCTCCAGCATTCCCAGCAGACATTCATAGTTATTATTAAAAACGCATCAAATAAATGTTTGAAGTGGCATAATCATGAATTGTGCGTTTGCGTCAAAGTGACGTACAGCCTTTCCTGACCAAAACTAGGGCTTTGATAGCATGACACGGACTGATATGTTGCTTGAGCTGTGTTTTACGTGGAAGTATACTATGTGTGCTGCTTTAGGCCCCCAAAGCTCTTCCGAATGTTTCATATGCAAGCGGCCGCAACGCCATTTTAGCCTAACATAAGAAAGACGTCTCAAGACTAATCAAGGCGCTACCCTATAGCAAGGAATTGGTTAAGCAAGGCACGGCGAAGCGCAAAACATTCGGCGTTTCCGCCGATTTAGACCCTTTCCTATGCTCTGCCACGCCCAGGAATCATCACGTTTGTCCTAATTGAACATCCATCCTTTGTCATACAAATTGCTGAGTTTGCATTCCGTCAACTCGAGGCTTAATGACGGGGTTTCTCTTTTACATCGTGTCTTCGCTGCCGCCGTTTCCGGCCAACACAATTCATCGGCTCTCCTGAAGCTGACCAGCTGGGGCCCCACCCTGAGCGCACTGGGCACACATCGCTCAGGTTGAAGGATTCGACAGCATCTTACACGTCAATCCTCTTTGTGCACATGTCCTCAGCCCTTTCCCACTTCCCTCACTTATTGCCCCTCCTCGCTCGCGCCCCTACCCTGCCTGCTCTTCTCTGCTTTTGTCCGCGTCGCTTCCAAACCTCCCTCCTTCTTCCGAGCGCCATGGTTGGAAGAGTCCAACCCGGTTACAGCGCCCAACTCCGTTATGAACCTCCCCATGGCTGTCCGACCTAGCAATTCGCACCAATGTAACACCAGGCAAAGAGTACTCAGGGAGATGCCAAGGGAGCTGAACGCTTCTTACATGTATGGAAAGAGGCCCGTATGGAAAGAGGCCCCGCAAGGGCTACACTAAGTAGACGAACGAGTGGAATGGCTGATGAACAGGCGATTGCCAGAAGGTGTGGTATTGGAGTTCAAGGACCGATTGATTAATGGTTGGATGTGTACATGTCTAGATGTCCAACCAGACATGTACCCGTCAGACTGCAAGCAGCCAGGAATTCACATGGTGAAGTATACGCATTGGATGGGTCTGGAGGCCAAGCAAGCGGCAGAAAGGAGGTACTCCCGCATATCACAACGTTTATCCTGCATCCAGTGAATCACAAGCTTATGCAGTTGGGGCTTTACTGTCGGGCATTGGTGGTGAACGGAGCATGCAAGGGACTGTGTTGATGGGGTGTTACACTGTGGGTGGCTCGCCCGAGAAAGGATGAGCACCGGGGGCCCTGCCGAAACACAGCACAGGGGCAGGCGCGCGCCTCTACGTCCGTCTGTTCCTCCGCGCGCGCCTCGATCCCTCACTCACACCAACCGGGACGATCTCCCAGCCCCTGGCTAGGCAACACAGCGGCGCAGAAGACTGCAAACCGAACTAAGTGAGAGCTGCACGAGAGGCGCCACTGTGTTATAGACCTAGGGAGGAGCGAGTATGCCCCTGCTGTGGCACTGATAGCCATAATGAAGACGAGAAGCACATTTGGTTGGACTGTCTGGTGTACGACAAAAACGAGATTTGATATGGATTTTCCATGCTTCGAGGATATGAAGGATGCTATGAAGTGAAGGAACCTGAACGTCTGGTAAGGATGCTGGAACTTATATGGTCCCACTGCAACTCTATCGTTCCCTTTGGTCGTTAGTCTCATTTATCATTTGCTTTGTCTGAGTGCGAGGTAGGATGGTGCTTATAGGCGATCTGGGAGCCCTTGAGCCCTCAACTCGTATTGGGCAGTTTGCAGGTACAGGGAACACAACCCGCGACCATGTAAAACACACACACACACACATATCCTGCGCTTGGCTTGTGCAGCTATGAACTGTTCCATGGCAGGGCCTATGGTGCAGTGACAAAACATGACCGGATTCATGACCCGCACGTGACTGGAAAACCCGCCCATGACCAACTCGTTCCCCGTGCTGAACAACAAAAACAAGATAAGCTTACCAGCTTTATGCGTGCAACAAACGACAGCCCTGAGGGCACGGGCAGTAGTGAAACAGTTAGTCTAACAGTTACACACTGGACCTTACACCCAACCCAGCTTACTTAACACAAGCTCACATTAGTAGTTGCTTCAGAGACAAATGCCAAAGTTGAAGATGCCCTAGCAGTTGAAATACTGGAACACCAAATGGTGCAACACACGAGAGGGCCAAAGAACGCGAGAGCTGCCTGACAGGCGCGCACACCGAAACTAAATAGAGCTCCCGAAGCCAAACGCCTCGACGACCTCCAAACGGCACTCCAGCAGCAAGGCTGGCGGACACGCCACCTACACAGGCAAATAGCAAACAAACCGAACGGAAAGTGCCACCACACTCCACAAGAACTAGGCCAAACCAGCGTTCACCAACTGCATACAGACTGACCTGCAGGCCACAGACGCGACGGATCACTCAACAGACGCTGCCGGACGCCCACTGAAGGAAGGGACGACAAACGAGCAAAAGTGCCAAACATGTGCCCGCTCAGGGGTGGCCAAACGGCCAACTAGGACGTGAGCCGAAACACCGGCTCCACAACAACGACCACTCCACGTACCCAGGTCTCGGACAACAGAGAAAGCGGACGAAGAAAAGACAGAGACCTAACACGACAAGGCAAGGGTACCTCCGAGCCAACTGACACAACGTTGGCAACAGCTTCAAAGAAGCCACTCATCACCCGCATTAAAGGCCAACCCAAAGAGAGGCTGACAGAGCGATGGAGCACTGCAAATGCACCCAACTACTTGGAAAACCCACCAGCAGGGGCTGTCTCCAGCACACGGCTCTTGGTGAACCGAGCAAGTCAGACACGGAGCTCGTGGGGTTCACTGCACTGATGAAAGGCTGAGCAGCACGGGCTGGGATAGAGCCCCTGGCAGCTAGGAACTGAACCCACAGGAGCCCGACATAAAGGGTTGCCGGAAGTAACTCCAGGCCTTCTATGACACAGGAAAGACACAATCACAGCAAAAAAGCGACACAAAAACTGCAAATAGCACCAACCCGGGACTGGCAACCTGGGCAACCTGCAGAGACACGCGGAATGGACCAACCGAGCCAGCTGCAGCTGCTATGCCAACAAGTTACCAGGGTGCCGCATCGGACTGCAGATACAGCGAGAAACGGGGAACCCATCCAGCACCGAAGGTACTATACGAACTAAGTCCAGATCCAGCGGTGTTGGAGCCAGACAAACTAAACCGTTCCGAAATCACGGGAATTCCAATCGCTGGTAACACGAAAAAACCAACTACCTGCACGGGTGCCTTCCAGTGATTTTTTTGCGGGATTCGGAATAAATAATTTTCCGTGGTCCTGAAAGTTAGGATTAGATTGTGTTCCGACTGTACAAGTTCATTCCTCCAGCCAAAAATGGGCTGTCCATGCCAAAGCCGCTAGAATCTTACCGGAGACATACATGTTAACCATATCATAGCACTTCAATGCCATGGATACTGTTAGGTAGGCCACACCCGCGAGTCAACGAGGAATAGGACTGTTTCTGACCGGACCAAACGCTGCAAAATATTCGGATCTGAAGCTCCCAAAGCGTGGCAGGCCACCGCGTCTAAGTGCGCGCCGCTTCCTGGCCCGGAGCCGGTAAGAGACAGGTCTCCAGAGAGATTGTGGTGTGTGCGTGTTGCGACATTCCCCAAAGGGCCCCCCAGAGGGCCCCCCAGCGCCTTACAGATTAGGAATAATTTTATTCCCGCGACTAAAACCTATTCCTCCGTTCGGACTGGAAAATTGACGGAAATGAAAACAAAAGCACTGGTGCCTTCCGAGCGCACACCTTCGCACATCAAATCCCTTCCTATTCGCTCCACATAGCTGCACATCCGCTCCCCCCCACGATGTACACCTAAGGCGTTACCTCATTGGTGGCCCATTGCCCCTACAATGTATTACACGTCCCCGGGGGGTTTTGAAATGTTAGGAAAGCACACGTAGCGGGGCACTCTGACTGACCGCAATTGCAGCGGGCCACACTGACTGACCGAGTGCCATGCGAAAGCGCCCACACTACGACTGCACCCGCACTGCCAGACCTGCCAGGAAGGGGGGGTAGATAGGTGCTCAACGCACCCTCACCCAGCGCAAACAGCTCCGTATTCGAAGGCAGGAACACAAGGTCAACCGCCAACTCCATCAACTGTTGCCACCAAGGTCGGCCCGTCCAGTACGGCACGACTGAAGCACACTCCCTCCTAGCGCACTTCCTGCATTACAGAGAGCAAGAAGTCCAAGGGTGGGCAGCCATAGGCATTCCACTGCACTCCAACCAATGGGTCTCGCTGACGAGCCGAAGGCACAGCGGTGTAGTAACAGGAAGCGCGCCGGAGGTGCGGGACCCGTTTTGATGTCAGCGCGCGCGGCGGAACCAAATCCAACAGCAAGCCGAGTGCGTGCGTGAGTGCAAGCCGGCCCACTGGCTGGACAGGCATGTCTGGACAGGCATGTGACCATGTTACGAGGCAGTGGCTTCACAGGTGGGACATGCATGCAAAGGAGGGCCTCTCTAAGGCAGTTGTTGGAAGGAATTGCTGAAGGAAAATAGATCCAGGTCTTGGGGTAAACCGTCTTGTGGCCGACATGGTGGCCCCCATGCCAGCTCAGGAGGCACCCAAAGAGCGTTGGAGTGGCCTGCATTGCATGTATGGGCCCCGGTCTAGAATGAGAGAGCCACCACGTCCTGAATAACTGTCAGAGAACTACTTATAATGGCCACATCATCGTTTGGACAACGACTGACGACGACCGAGCAAGGCCGCATTTGATCACTTTGAATTTGAGTTGGTGCATTGAAATCTGAAATGATGGGAATGGTTAACGGTGTGCAGAGCAGATCCAATGCAACCAGCGGCTTAGGAAACTGCATCGCTTTGCAATCTGCAGCAGTAACATTTTCCTTGCTGCATCCAATGGTACTTCCTTCGTGAGGTAAGTACCATAAGGCTTCCGTTTACAGCACAGGAGATTCGCTGTTCGGTGCAGGTTTTGAGGAATTCAATACAGAATACAATTCAATTAAAGTTCGGGCTGATTTAGTGAGTCAGGATACTAGGTGCTCAGCCAGACAAGTCCGAACGGACTCCTGTCTTCACCATCACCATCACCATCACTACCACTTCATCCTCCCACCCTGTGGACCTAGCATCACCAGAGCAAGCCCAAGCAATCCAATTGGTATTGGATGTGTCAAAGGGGGAGCAAGTTCAGGGGACGGGGATTACCTAAGTGGCAGGCAGGCAGGTAGGTAGCTAGGTAGCTAGATAAATAGATAGGTAGGTAGATAGTAGGTAGGTAGGTAGCTAGGTAGGTAGCTAGGTAGGTAGCTAGGTAGGTAGGTAGATAGATAGATAGGTAGGTAGGTAGGCTATGACATCGGCAAGGGTTGGTGAAGGCCCTCCGGCTGTTAACAATTTCCATGGACGGGTGGCCCACCATCCCTTAGTCACCAGGCGACCGTTCGCTGTTCGTAGAGGGGCCACATTGGAGCCAGCTGCAGGGAGGGCTCGCCCAGACAGCCATTTGCCCGTTTCCACTGGCCGCCTGCACCGGCCATAGAAGATACAAAAGATAGAGCAGGCCGGCAGAACCAGGCAGAGCTTAAGAAAATATTATTAATATAATGATACGCTGACGTAGTTTCCCAGGGACGATGCTCTTCCGTGCTCGCTCGTATATGCTCCTCCGGCCGCCGCGATCGAACTGGTGTCAGCGATCAGCGTCGTCGTCAGACGTCGAGGCGACGTCATCGCCCGCCGCGCGGAGGTGGTGGCGGGCCCAAATTCGTGGCGCCTGTGCGATTTGCTCTCACGCAATGCAGTTATAGCTAGATTCTGTTTGCAGCTCTGCACTTTAAGCTGCCGCTACCTGGTGATCAGTGCCTCCTGCGGGCACATATGGAATCATTTTCGCAGGAATAAGCATCAGCGAACTCATCATGCGATCGAACGTGGCCAACGCGGCCGTGGCTGCTCTGGCTGCTACTAAGTACTTTGGTTTAACGAACGGCCCAAAGCTGATGACATGCAGTTGTGTAACGAACAGTACTACGCCCATCAAGACGCAATTCCTGACGCTGCCGCAACAGCAACGAAAAAGCCTTTGCTGGAATCTGGTCGGTTTTGAGCAGGAATTAGGTAATTCAACACGTCGCAAGTTGCTGAGTGTGTTTTTAATTTTCAGCTTTTACGAACCCGTACACAAAAGGGCCATGTGTGGCCGCGTACAGCAGCCACGGTTGGATCTTGGAGCTGGGAATGACACACAAGAACACAGTTTAGCTCAGCGTGTGAGTATGAAAAATATTGATAATTAAACTGTTTGTTAGGTTTTCTTGTTAGTTGTTAAGTCGTTAACTTTACTCGTGGACGATCATTTGAGATACGGATAATGTACGACCTTCCGGCGCCGCCTAGGCTCTGGATAACTATTTAAGTCGTTGTTGTTGTTTAGTTTGTTATGTCATCATTGTTACATCTTGTAGGTTGTTAGCTGGCTTAAGTCGCTCGGCCCTCTTTGTAATCATCGTGGCATCCCAACGAGAAACGGAGCCTATGCCCTTTCAGTTGGTATCGATCTAGACGATCCGGCCTATACGCTTCGCTCCGCCTTCGTCTTCATCGTCTTCGTCGTCATCGCTTTCGTCTTCGCTCCGCTGGTCATCTTCGTCATCGTCGTCTTCGTCATCTTCGTCTTCGTCATCCTCCGATGGCTCCCGTCCCCATCACGGGACTCTATCAAGCGCAGCTTGCTATGTTTGCCTTGACGCAGGGTTCCGGACCAAACTCCTTACAATGCTACATTGCGGAATTCCAACGCCTTATGGCTGACCTGCCGTACCGCCACGAGAAGGACCACGTCCTCTTCTTCGCGCAGGGACTGCAGGACGACCTCAGGAAGGAGATCTTCTCGCACTTACGCAACCCGGGTTCCTACATACGACTGCAGGATGTGATCGACCTTGCATGCACCATTTCAATGGAGCACGATGCCGCTCACCGCTCACCGCATTCGCTACCGCAGGGCACCTGCACCATCAACGTCCCCACCGACCGCTCGCCCTTTCGTTCCACCACCTCTCGAACCGCAAACCGCTCTCCCTCCCGCTCCCCCTCCCCCTCTCCGACTCGCACCGACAATTCCGACCGCCGTCGTCAGGACAACGACCGTGGACGCACCTTTCTCTCCAGTTCAGACAGCCCCCAGCCTTGCCGCGATGACCAGCACCGCCGCGCCGACCCACCCCGCCGCCGCCGCCGTTCGCCTCGATCCCGTCAACGTGGCCTTTAAGCCACCACCGGCAGAACAGGTTAGCCACAGCTTGCCGGTGCGTTTTGCTGTGCAACGGTCAGCCGAGTCTGACACCCCGCCGCCGTCACCGTTCAACGTTTCGCGCCTAACCCAGATCGCCAGTAAGCCCGCCCGCCATGTAGGTTGTATGCGTGCTCGTGTAGCTGCAGCCTCCACGACGGAAGCGCACCGGGTGGACAGCGACTGGATGCTTTCGCGCACCGTCTTCGTCCTCTCTTATCTCGTCGTCTCCATCGTCACCTACTTCGTCGTCTTCGTCTCCTCTTATCTCGTCGTCTCCGTCGTCACCTACTTCGTCGTCATCACCAACGTTCTTCGTCTCGCGAAAATCGTCCGTAAGCCTGCCCGTCTTGCCGGCTGCAAGTGTGCTCGTGCAGCTGCAACCTCGACAACGACGGGAGCATGCCAGGCGAACAGCGATTACACCCTTTTACTCTCACGTCTTCATCCCCCACCCTGTTCCCTGATACCACCCTTCACCCCGTTTCCACCTCGTCCCATCCTTCACCATCTTCTG